GTGTGTGAATGTGAGTGTGAATGGGTGAATGTCTGTTAGTGTAAAGCGCTTTGGGGTCCAGAGGGACTTGAAAAGCGCTCTATAAGTTCAGTACCATTTACCATTTAAAAATGAACATTATTAAAACAAAATAAGACTGAATTGGAAAATCTGAAAGACTAAATTTCTTTTTAAAGATGTTCAGTATAAGTATCCTGATGCATCTCAGTAATCCAGGTACAAAATCAAAGGAAAAAAAATTGTATAGGTCCTCTGGACCTATACAATATAAGTAAAAGAGTATAAGAGTATAAGTAAAACTGAGAAAAGAGGTCACTAGCAATGAAAACAGCTTAACTCCTGATCACATACTAGTATGAAACAACGTAATCAAACAAACATTTAATAAATAAAATGAATAAAACTGACGAATTACAGCTCAGCTATTGTTTACTTTCATATCCTGCCAGTAAAGATTCACTTGGTGAACAAGAGACAAACACAAACCAGTTTTGGAGCTCTGTTAGATTAATCATTTATTAACAACTTCTACACCAGTTGTTCCCAAAGCTGGGGTTCAGGACCCAGCTGTGGGTCATAAAACACCAAGTGTCGGGTCTTCAGATGATGTCCAGAAATCCAATAAAATACAGAAAACATTGCTGCAGCATCAGTTTCTTATAATTGTTATAAAATCTAAAAAAGGGAAGTCATAAACAGGTAAATATGAAGGCTGTTGGGGAAACGTGGGTCACAGCTCTTAGATTCAACCGTTCACTGAGTTGATTTAAAAAACAATGAAACAAAAACAAACTTTCCAACACTTTAAAACATTGATGAGAATCAGCTGCCGTTATATTAAAAAGTTTTATTTTATGAGCTTATATTTGATTTTGCACTTGTTTTGTAAACTCCCTTTAGTTTTTACTTGCTCAGGACCACAGAGAAAATCTAATTATTGGGAAAATTTCGACACATTTATTTTTCTGTTGATCAATGTTCATTATCCTTTTTAAAAAATTAATGAAACGAAATTTGAAACTTGTTTTAATGTAAACAAATTCACTACAATGAGTTTTTTAATAACTGCTGCATGATTTAGTTAATAAACTTTTTCCAAACAGAGTATTGGCTGATTGTTATTCTGACTCCAGATCAGGATGAGTCCTGTACACCTGTCGCCTGGATCAGATCTGGCTCTGATCCAAACTGAAGGCTGTTGGGTGAAAAGGAACCGGCGCAGACGTTACTTCACTCTCTGTGTACAGAAACACTGATAAGGACGAGCAGCGAGGTGAAACTAAACGCAGGCAGGAGCGGAGCCAGAGGCCACGCCCCTTCCTGCTGAGCGGTGTCGGGGACAGGTGCAGCTGTGTGTTCCTCTGCAGGATCAGCAATCACAGAACCAGTCATGAACGGCAGAACGAGCTGGTCTGTGCTGAACAAACAGGTCAGATCTGACTCAGTCAGGCTCAGTTTAAACATTTATAGATCCCAGCTGAGCCAGCTTTCCTACTTTTCATYTTATGTTGCACAGATTGTTTTATTTTTGCACAATGTGTACAACCCCAGATCCAAACAAGTTGGGACGTTGTGTAAAACGTAAACAAAAAAAGAATGACAAGTTGCCAAATAACTAAAGTATTTACAGAATGTTCTTTATATTCACTCTGTTTACAGCCTTCTGCCTGTCCTCACCTTTTTAAGATGTGTTGCTGCCATCAAATTCAAAAGTAACTTTTTATCTTGAAAAAAGTTCATAATTTTAATAAATAAATGTTTGAAACATTCACTACGTCCCGGGGTAAATGAATATGAGTTTATGGGATTTGCAAATCATTACATTCTGTTATTTGTATTTTAAACATCAAAACTTCTTAGTATTCTGGTTTATATTTTAACAATGAAGAAAACAGCAAAATTCACTGAATTTAAACAAACATTTATTTACTGTAACAACTTTRAATGATTATTCATCACAGTTTTTTTATTTAAAACTGAGGTTGAGCTGCTTTTGTTTCATAGTTAATGAAGTTACACAGTGGAGACAGAAAGAGGGTTTTTAGTTGTTAGGTGTGACCTTTGATTATTAATGACAGGATTATTTATGCATCGTTCTTTGATGTTGATTTTTATTTTAGCTACAGCTGTTTTTGTTTTTCCCCTCTTGTATATCATAAAACCTCATCTAAAGTGACAAGAAAATATTGTGCAGGAGAAGGGTGTAAGAATATAACAATACATTTAATATAGCAACATTTCATTTCCTGATAATGTATCGATTCTCAAAAGCACCGTATTCATTTTTTAAATAAGGCTAAAGATGTAAACTTTCATGCCAACAGTTCAGTTTGTGCTGTAGTTTAGCCTCTGACCACTAGTTGGCAGCAGATTTATTTCCTCCACTACTGACGAGCCAGAAAGTATAATGCTAGCTCAAATGTTAGCATTGTGAGTAAACATTAGCACAAAGTACCAACGACCAAATCTGAGTGGATCAGACCGACACCAGCTGGCTTTAAAGCTGAGGTAGAGTATCCAACTGTCCTGTATTTGTCAGGAAGTTCTGTATTTTGACCCAAACTGAAGTGTTCCCATTGGGATGCTGTGAGCTGAAGGGGGTTCGCGAGTGATGGTGCTGAAGTGACCAAATGCAATGACCGTATGAAACACTGAGGGCATAAAACAGGGCTATTCAACTGGAGGCCCGCGGGCTACATCAGGCCCACTGGTGACCAAAATCTGGCCCACCAATTGGTTCATTAAGAACCAATGAACTTAATGAACCAGTTGGTGGGCCAGATCCACTGGTGACTAAAATCTGGCCCACCAATTGGTCCATTAAGTTCATTGGTTCTTAAGCCCAAACCCTCGGATTTCTAATTTAATTACTATAAGTTCTTTAAGTTAAACATAGACGTGTGTTAAACATGAACGTCAGAATCTTGGCCAAAAGCTGGTAAAAACATTTGAATGAAAACCCAAGACACTTAAAACTACAAGCAGTATAATATAAAATTACAATAAGTAAAAATAAAATTGTTTTAAAAATGTGACAAGTTGTGTCAATTGTTTTTGATTTTGTTTTAATATCACTTCTCTTATTACATTGGGTTCTATATGTTGTATTCATGATTAAATGCAGCAAAGTAAACTAATTCAAAGGTAACAGATCTTTGTAATACTTGGTTTATTTACATAATGACTTTAAATGCTGGATGTTCGGCCCCTCAGCTGTTGGCCTGCACTAACTGTGAC